TTATCTCCTCGGTCTTCTCACGTTTGACTAATCATCTTCTCTCTCCTCTAGCCAGACACCATCTCCATCCACAGTCACTTAACTTTCTATCTCCCTTGTCTTTCATTTATGGATCTATTTTATAATATATGATTTAAAATGCAAACAAATGTTCACTCAAAGAATTAAAAGAGATTTTTTCTTTCATTCTGTCTTCGATCAATTGATCCATACCAACCAGACCATGATCATCAAGTTCTTCATCCCCTCTTTGCTGCGTCCCCTCTCTCTTCCAGGTTCTCTCTCATCCCCTACATCTCTAGATCTAGAGTTGGGTTTGGTTTGTTACCTTTAATCGGTGCACACAAAAACACACATATATCTTCATCCTCTCTTTCTTTCAAACAAGAATCTGAACTGCAGTGTCCTCCGGTGTCCCGGCTGTGTCCTACCTATCTTGTGGCGTGTCCGACTTGAAAAAATGAATAAAAAAATAGGACATCGGTGGAAGGTTGTCAGACACGTATCCGAGGCTGGGACACGTATGTCAGTGTTGGGCACGTGTCCGACATTGGTATGACACCCCTAGGACGCGTGTCCGTGCTTCGTAGAAGGTAACAAAAGCAAACAATCTCTGACAATTGGTTGACACAACAATTACTTGTAAGAAATTGCTCGGGCTGACAAGCTACTATGTGAAAATATAATGTCAACGGTTAGGTTAGTCTCTAGTCTCTCTCCCAACAGCCCATGTGGGCTGGACTAATATTAACTAACAGCTTTTTATGGACCATTAAACTAGGGCTAACAAGTAGATAGCATAGCTTAAACGATTTTTTAGAAACTACACTTGGAATTTGTTTCAGCATTAGGCTATCATTGGATAAAGGATCTTGGAAAACATTTAGATGTCAAAAAAGGAATTTGTGGATGCTCGAAATTATTATTATTATTATTATTTTCAGCTAGAAATGTTGAGGAAATTGAAATTACCTCCAGTAACGCCAGAAAGGAATTTAGGACCCCCAATACATATTAATCCCACTAGTCACCACTATATGTCTCGTGATAAAATCCTTGAAACAAGAGATACAAATGAGAGTTGTGACCCGCTTTCGACACGATGACCCATTGGATAGGAATATTTTTGACCCATTTTTGCTTGTGGATCGTGGACCCTAATTAGTATTCTCTTGTAGCCCAACATATAACGCCGCTTAGGGTTTAGAGAGAGAGACTGAAAATCGTACAGAAAGAGAGTGAGGGGCTGAAACTTATAATCTCCGATTTTACCCATAGTGCCGGATCTCCACCCTGGACGTAGTATAGAGCAATGGCTTATATAGCTTGCGAAATGATGTGGGTAAAATATCTTTTGCAAGAAATGGGATTTTCTAGCGACAAGCCTATGAGAATGATTTGTGATAATCAAGCTGCTATGTACATTGCTAGTAATCCAGTGTTTCATGAAGAACAAAACATATAGAGGTGGACTGTCCCTTCGTAAGAGTCTTGGTGATGAGTAAAAGAATAGTTACTAGTTATGTGAAATCCAAAGATCTTACCAAGGCATTGGGAAAGTCTCTGTTTTTTGGAATTATGTAACAAGTGGGGAATGATAGATATCCATGATCCAGTTTGAGGGGGAGTGTTGGGTAATAGTTTGTAATTAGTCATAGAGTTGGGGCCTTCGTGTAAATATACAATACTTGTAAATATATAAACCTATTATTGTTAAGGGTTCTCGGAATAAGAGTTTACCCACAAATTAGTTTCCTCACTCTCTCTAACGTAACAAATGTGAAATAAATGAGCCCAATCATCGCCTGTAGATAAAAGAGAATGCTTTGAGCCATGACCATGATATATACTGCAGAAACATTGACGTACAGTGGACATCTATTTTACAAAGCAATAAAACAACATCCTACCTGAAGGTTTTTTTAAGAAGAAAAATATCCGGTCTTCTTATCTTTCAAGAGAGACGATTACAAGATAAATAGTAGAGGAAGGCCACCAAATCAGGAAGCCCACAAAATCAGCAAATCAAATTAGCAAATCTCTACGCTAGAAAACAGGAAACGAAAACTACTAAAATCTGAAATAGTAATTTCAGATTTTATTTTCAAAAATAGAATTTCCTAATTTATTTCCTAGAAATCTGACACCCTCCCTCAAGTTGGAACGTAGATATCTATTATGCCCAACTTGCTTATAAAGAGCTCAAAACTAGGTCTGAAAAGTCCTTTGGTGAAGATATCGGCTATTTGTTGAGTAGTACGAACAAAAGGCATGCAAACAGCTCCACCATCAATCTTCTCTTTTATGAAGTGTCTGTCAATCTCCACATGCTTCATGCGATCATGTTGTACTGGATTTTGTGCAATACTTATGGCAGCTTTGTTTTCACAATACAACTTCATTGGCATGTTCATCAGCATCCGCAGCTCAGCAAGAATTCTCTTCAACCATAGTATCTCACAAACTCCGTTAGCCATAGCCCTATATTTTGCCTCGGCACTATTTCTTGCAACCACATTCTGTTTCTTGCTTCGCCATGTGACCAGATTTCCCCAGACATAAGTACAGTATCCTGAAGTGTTCTCCTGTCAATAACTGAGCTTGCCCAATCTGCATCAGTGTATGCCTCTATGTTCTGCCATATGGTCTTCTGGAAGAGTAAACCCTTGCCTGGTGTACTTTTTCAAGTATCTGAGAATCCAATATTCAAGATGTTTCTTGTAGGGTGAATGCATAAACTGGCTTACCAAACTCACAACAAAAGCAATATCGGGCCATGTATGTGATAAGTAAATTAACTTTCCCACCAACTTTTGATACCGAGTTGTATTCACTTGACCACCTTCCTTGTCATCTCCAAGTTTCTGATTGGGATCGATTGGAGTGTGCTGGCCTACAACCGCTCATCCCAGTCTCCTTAAGGAGGTCAAGGACATACTTCCGTTAGGAGACAACAATCCCTTTCTTCGACCGAGAAACCTCCATTCCAAGGAAATACCTCAGAGATCCTAAGTCCTTGATCTCAAATGTTGATAAGAGGGAAGTCTTCAATCTGTTCATCTCAAGTACGTCATCTCCAGTGAGAATTATATCAACATACACAATCAGTATCACTATCTTGCCATCCAGTGAATGTCTTATAAACATCGTATGATCACCTTGCCCTTGAGTATACCCCTGGCTTTTTAACAAACTGAGTGAATTTCTCAAACCAGGCTCTTGGTGACTGTTTCAACCCATATAAGGACTTCTTCAGTTTACACACCTTTGTGCCAGACTTTTCACCAAATCCTGGAGGTACATCCATGTACACTTCTTCCTCCAAGTCTCCATTGAGGAATGCATTTTTTACGTCCAACTGTTGCAGAGGCCAGTCATGATTAGTTGCAAGTGACAAAAGAACTCTTACAGAGTTTAGCTTTGCGACTGGGGCAAATGTCTCCAAGTAATCAATGCCATAAGTCTGAGTGAATCCCTTGGCAACCAATCAAGCTTTAAACCGTTTTAGAGAACCATCAAATTTATACTTGACTGTAAACACCCATTTGCACCCTACAGTTGTCTTTCCTCTTGGTTGATCAACTAACTCCCACGTGACATTTTTTCAAAAGCTTTCATCTCCTTGAAGACAGTCTCTTTTCACTCATGAACTTTCAGAGCATCCTGCACAGTATTAGGAATCTCCATACAAGACAATTGTGAGGTAAAAGCACAAAAAACAGGTGAGAGAGGTTCATATGACACATAATTGGACAATGGATGCAAGACCTCACACCTTTCCGGACAGCAATGGGAAGTTCAAAATCATCGAACTCAGGATTGGAATTAGATTCGGGTTCAGAACTAGAGGACTTAGAACTCGAAGATGAAATGGGTTGAACATGAGGTAAAGGCTCGGTGAGGACATTACCTAGAGGGTTTACGGATTCTAAGCAGTGCAAAGGATTGGAAGACCCTTTCTCTCGAGTTGTCCTCTGTTGCGAGTAGACAATGTCAAATGGTACCAATGCTGTGTTTCTTTTTCCTGTTTCTCCTTTGTTAGTCGTTATAGGATCATGAACATCATGAGATGGCACTGTAGGAAGACCTGCCCTTTCAGTATCTAAAAAACTCAACTCACTTTCTCCTGGTATAATAAAGCTTGAGTTTTCAGGTTGAATAATCAAAGTTAGAGAATGATCATTTTGCGAGTCTTCAGTTTGGAAAAAATCATGAAAAACAACCGAATCTTTGTTTTGGTTCCCCTCAGAAGATGAGGCGTGAAATAGGGATGTAATTCAAAAAAAGTAACATCCATGGTAACAAACATTTTTTTGGAAATGGGTTCAAAACATTTATACCCCTTTTGAGTGGCAGCATAACCAACAAACACACATTTTGTGGATCGGGATTCAAGTTTTCCTCGATTATGACTATGAATATGAACAAATGCGGTACAACCAAATATCTTTAGGGGTAAAGAAAAAGAAAGCCGATTTGTTGGATAAAACTTATGAAAAACATCAAAAGGTGTTTCAAAGCTTAAAACCTTATTAGGCGTTCGATTTATGAGATATGTAGTAGTGAGAAGGGCTTCACCCCAAAGATATTTAGGTACCTGATTGGTAAAAAACAATGCCCGAGCTACTTCCAATAAGTGTTTGTTTTTTCTTTCAGCCAAACCATTTTGTTGCGGAGTGTCGACACGAGAGCTTTAATGAATAATTCCTTTTTCAAGAAAAAAATTGGCCCAAAATGTTTTTGAAATATTCTCGACCATTATCACTCCGCAATTTTTGAATATTTTTTGAAATTGTGTTTATACCATGGTCTAAAAAGTTTTGAAAGTTGTTCCCACTTCAGATTTTTCCTTCATTAAATGAACCTAACTTAATCTCGTGTGATCATCAATAAAGGTCACAAACCATTTTTTGCCAGAACACGTAGATGTTCTACATGGCCCAAGATATCACTATGAATCACAGTAAATGGTGTAGTTTGTTTGTAGGGTTGGGGGGTAAAAGATGCACGATGATGTTTAGCAAACTGACAAACATCACACTGAAAGGAAGATGAACTTTTATTCCGAAATAAATTGGGAAACAAATATTTTAAATACTGAAAACTAGGATGGCCTAACCTATAATGCTATATCATAATATCATTATCTTTGGAAACAAAAACAGAATTTAAGGAAGTACTTTGACATCATCTACTCGAGTCAGGTCCATCGTCAAAATAATAGAGTCCCATCTTTTTCCTTAGCACTGCCAATCATCCTCTCCGTGGTCAATTCCTGAAACTCACAATAAGAAGAGTAGAAATTAGCTTGACACTGATGCTCAGAGGTAATTTTACTGATGGACAACAAATTGCAAGACAAATTGGGAACATGGAGCACATCATGGAGGGTTAACAACGGAGTGAGTTTGATAGTTCCTATCCCGGCAATTACAGAGAGTGAACCATCTACAATTTTGACCTTTTTATTGCCTGCACACGGACTATAGGATGAGAACAATTTGGAGCAACCGGTCATATGATCAGTTGCGCCTGAATCAATTATCCAAGAATGAACAGGGTTGGGAATAACACCAAAAAACGCAGTAGCAAGAGAGTTACCCTTCTGTACCAAAGAACAAGACGGAGTTAAGGACAGTTTTGGAGAAAACAATTTGTACAGGACCACAGGTGCTCTAATTGCTCCTTTGTAAAAGAGACTGCATCCGAGTTGGTAGAAGGCTCCTGAGTCTCTTCAGCAGCGGCTTGGTAGGCACGACCGTCACGTTTGGATTTTGGCTTCCAATTTACTGGTTTACCATGAAGCTTCTAACACGTCTCCTTCGTATGCCACGGTTTTTTGCAATGCTCGCACCACGGTTTCTTATGCCCGTCGTTGTCAGAATCAACACCTCTTGACACGAGAGCAAAGCTCTCAGGTTCCAGGTTGAAACTAGGTTCGGTGTTGCGCAACATGATTTTTCTCCTTAACTCCTCAGGTCTAACTTCAAAAAAAACTTACCGAATAGAGGGTAATGGCTTTTTGCCGAGAATGCGGCCTCGAAACTCGTCCAAACTTTGATTTAGGCCGGCTAAAAACATGTAAACCCTGTCGTTTTCCTCTCTCTTCTTGTGGTGAGCATAGTCGTTCGAATTCTCCCAAACACCATCATAACACTGATCAAGTTCCTGCCATAAAGTTACCAATTCGTTATAATAAGTAGTAACATAGTGATGATTCTGCTTGGATTTCCAGAGTCGAGTTTTCAACTCAAATATTTGAGAAGAATTCTCCAAGTCCGAATAAATATCTCGAATGGCCTCCCAGACATCTTGAGGAATGGGAAGAAATAGGTGAGGTTTTCCAATGGTTGGTTCCACAGAATCAATGAGCCAAGCAATAACAAGAGAATTTTCGGACTGCCATTTTTTCAGATTAGGGTCACCAGCAGCAGGTTTCGATATTTCGCTAGTCAAATGCCCAATTTGCCTCTGCCATCGATCACCAATTTTACGGACTGCGCCCACTCGAGATAGTTGTGCCCATTGAGTTTTGTAATCGTGAGATAAAGGGCTGAATTCTGGGAATAGTAATCGACAGATACAGGTGTGGGATTGGGCGGAATAGTGGTATTGGGCGAAATATTCGTGGGAGAAATAGTGGGATTGGGCGGAATGGTTTCGGAAGTACCGGAAGAGACGGTAGGATTTCCTTGGGCGCCGGTCATTGCCGACTTATACGACATCATCAGAAAATAGAAAAAAAGCGCAAGGCTCTGATACCATGAAGGTTTTTTTAAGAAGAAAAATATCCAGTCTTCTTATCTTTCAAGAGAGACGATTACAAGATAAATGGTAGAGGAAGGCCACCAAATCAGGAAGCCCACAAAATCAGCAAATCTCTGGGCTAGAAAACAGGAAACGGAAACTACTAAAATCTGAAATAGTAATTTCAGATTTTATTTTCAAAAATAGAATTTCCTAATTTATTTCCTAGAAATCCGACACTACCTACCACCACAAAGGGGGAGAACACATGAAAAAGGGGGGAACAAAAAGGTCATGTCTTTTTAACGATTCTTTAAATGAATGAAATGTAGAGAAAGAGGTGGGGGTGTGCGTGTTTTTTTTTTTTTTTTTGGGGGGGGGGGGGGGGGCGGCTGTCCACATGTTATGGAATTTACTTAAACTGATTTCACTGGATTCTCCACAGATTGGATTAAAAAAAACAAAGAAGTCAGAATAAACACAAATTAGAATATATAGCAAATCTGATTCTTATCATGTATTTTATGACTGACATTGGTTAAGAATAGCTGCTTCTTGTAAGAGACGTATCATTCATTTAAGATATACCAACTTAACAAAGCCCATTAAGGAAATCCCAGTCTTTAATTGGTGGCTAGAGTTATTTCATTCCGTAGCATGATGTATATTTGCATTAATAAACTATGAAGTAGGTTATGTAACAAAAAATGAGATTAACAATAATGAAAATATGAACTAGGCCGCGATGGGGAGCAATCAACTCTAGTGTAGCAGCTTTTAAGCTTATTTTATCTGCTGGAAGGGACTGTGATAGTTACTGCTGAAATATTAGTAGAAAGACACATATTTCTTGTGCCTTCTTCCCCCAGTCCATTGTCAAAGAGATGTACAGAAAACACTTGAGATATATTCTGCAGCTTTACTATGACAACTGATGAGCTATGATGTAGCGGCAAAGTCATCCCAATCTAGTGTTGCTTGTGCAAAGGAGATGCGGAGACCATGAATCATCGGTCGATCTGTTGCTCAATACCGAGGGGCTTTTGAGTGTAGATTCTAATAATATATACTTTTAGTAATATATGATTATATGATGATTCATAGAAGGATTTTTTTGGTCTCTCTTCTCCTCTCTTCTGAGTATACATTGCATGCATTTCTACTGGATTATCTTTATTAGAAAACAATAAATATACCTTTTAAGTCTTGTTATTCAACAAAAACTGAATAGGAACAACATATAAATCCTTCTTTTGCAGATTGAATTATAGTAAGAATATCTAAGGATTTTGACTTGTTAATTATATGAAACGCATTCTCCCTCTCCGTGTGGTACACCGCACACCTTAACCTAGATCTAGGAGATATCAGTGTTTATCAAACTCTTCATATCACAGTGCAACACATCTCCCGCTGCCAATAAACCAAAGGAACATTTGATCTAGCGATGAAAGTAACCTTATCACTTTCCAGTGTCAACTAATAATTTTAGGGTAAATTACTGACCTACCTTGACTTTTAGTTTGGAACCCATAGATTAAACCTTATTGCAAAAATCACTCAGCATTAAACCTAATGTCTCGAATGTTATTGAGTTTGACGATTTTACATTCAATACGATAATACTAATAATACTAAAAAAAAAGCCTGAGAATACTAATCAATTAAATGACTGAACTGCCCTCCTAACAGAATCTGTCTTTCCTCTTCTTCATTTCTCCATGACTGCTGATCTCCACCATATTGCCACACGACTACCACCACACCTCAACCTCCATCACGCCCCAATCACCAGTGTTTTCACATCTTGGTCTATCTACCACAATCACCAAACCCACATCCACCACCACCCCTTCCACACTATCTCTAATCGTATATATTTCGCATATTCACTATGGTTCTACTCGTCAGTAGAGTTAATGATATCGACGGCTGCATCAGAGGATGCACCCTATGGAATCAGAACTTGACAAAAGGCGAAGACCCAGACCTACCACCTCCTACAACAGACCCATTGCCAGAGAGACCTCAACGTAGCCTTTCTTTGTTCATTAATGCTACAATCGGGTGTCCATGGAACCATAAATTAGGTCCATGTAGAGAATAATTGTGTACAATTAGATCTATTCTAGAAAGCATAAGAGGCAAAGCTTAATGTTCACAATTACTAGGTCATTCACTATATGTATATATAAATACATACACTCAAAATAGAAATTGGTTCAATCCCTCACTCTCTGAGACTTTGGTGTGTATCTGTTTGTGTGGTGTATAACATGGATGTTTGTATATACAACCAAAAAACTAATCACTGGCTTAACGGTCACTAGTGCTGGATTGTGAGAGAAAGAAAGAGAGAGGCAGTTGCGGGAATGAGGTGGCAGTGGTGGCATACAACCAGAATGAGGTGGCAGTGGTGGCATACAACCGGTAAGTGGTGAAGGGATGATACATATATTATATTTGTTAGATGATATATATTATCTACGTCATGTCACAAAACAGAGCAGTAACTACACCTAACAATTGTAGACCTCAGGGAGGTCAGGTAATTATCTTCTTTTTTTTATATTTTTTTAAGTGTAATTTACACTGCTTTTTAGTAATGAGCATTCACTTTTTCTCCATTTGAGGTATTCCTTGGACATCAGTGGAACACAAACAAGTATAAGACAAGGTGTTTTTATTCTTGATTGTGTTAAAGTAGTGACAGCAAAGAGAGAGAAGCATTCTCGCAGAAAAATGAAGGCTTAATTTGTTAATCACATTATCCATAATATATTCACATGACAGTTTCTTTAAAAATAATTGTTCTAATACTAATTACAACCCCAAGGGGTTGGCTCAAGTGGGTAAGTCACTTAGCCCTAGTGCCTCATGAAGTCTCAGGACTAAAGTTTGACTCCTCTTGGGTGAAAACAATTCATTTTTTCTCTTTGGGTGAGAGGGGGGGTGAGTATCAACTAGGAAAAAAAAAGACTAGAATTACTGGTTGTGCAGCAATGAAGTTAAAATGGCATTATGCATCATCAAACCTAACAAGTGGAAAGATATTAACAACATACCAGCACAAAGAAAGCTGTAGACAGGAAAGACTTGAGTACAAAGAGTGCAAGGCTCACGGCAACTACAGTCACAGAGATCCTCGTTACTGGTCTCGGAATAGAATCCTAACACCAAAAACAGATACATATATAAAATTTGTGCTGCATATAATAAATATGATAGCTGGCTAAGAACCAAATGATATATGGCCAATGATCTTAGAAGGGAGGGAATGAAATAGTCTAAACAGAAAAGATGAAATTACAGGCACCAGATTAGTCCCAGCCTCAATTCCATCATTTCCCACCTTCCATACTGTTTGAATAACTATTTCACAGGATTTATAACAGCAATTAGCAATAAAAGAAAATCTAAACAAAAACTATAACCTATATAGAGTTCCCTTAACAACATGAAACATTAAAATTTCTATTGTAAGAGCCAAAGTACGGTGTCATTAATGAAAGAATTTAATCAAGAGACAGTAAGTCAGTAACCATAAATTTGCCACACAATAATATTCAAATTGCTACCATTACAAAAAATATTTTCAACAGCATCATATTATAACTTTCCCACTAAACCATCTACATCAATTAATCAACCAAACATTTTTTTTTTTATTATCAAAAACCAATTGAATACTGTCCACAAGTCGTCAAAATTCCATAAACCCACAAAAACAACAATTTGCCAGACAATAATATTCAAATTGCTACAATTACATAAAATATTTTCAACAGCATCATATTATACCAAGAATTTTCCCACTAAACCATCTACACCAATTCATTAACCAAACATTATTTAATCAAAACCCAATCGAATATTGTCCACAAGTAATCAATAATCCATAAACCCACAAAACCCAAGTAACAATCAAGCATGACACATAAATATAAGAAATTAGGGCAATCAATATGCTCTTTAATTCAAAAAGAACTTCAAGAAAAGCTTATACCTCTCAAGAAATTGGATTGGGCGGCGTAAACAATAGGAATGTGATGAGTTTTGCGGCCCCTGATTTGGATTGTTGAGAGAAGAGCGCATTTCTTCAACTTTGAGAGAGATTTGGAGGAAAGAAACTGTGAGGGGTTGAGAGCAGGGGCTTGTTTCTTGTGATATTAGCAAAGTGAAACAGACAAGAGGTTATGAAGAATAACAGTTGAAGCCATACCTCTAATTGTATAAATGTGTATAGTTGTGTACAATAAAATCTCTTTATAAAATTCAAGTGGTAGATGTAGTCAGTAATTGGACCTCTTGAACAAGGGATAACAGACTATATATACGGATGTTTGGACAAATAAATACCAGAACCATCAGCTCAAAAGTGCCCAAGGCTCCCAGTAAATAAATGAAACAAATTTGGCATTGAGATTCTTATTCTTCAGAAGAATCCAAAAAATGACCTTTGTAAGCTACTAACAATTCCTCAACATCCTTTTCAAACCTTGATATATAGTTCTCCAAAAACTCCCCCTCCAGCAAATCCAATACATTAAGAAAACTTGGCTCCTTCTTCAACAGCCTCTTCGACTTCAGGATCTGCAATACTCTGTATCGGGGAATTACTCTCTCCTCCATGCTGCTCATCAAAACCGCCGGTCGATGAACTAACACCGACTTTTTTAATCTAAGAATGTCCATGTAAAACTCAATCCCGATCTTTAACTTATCCTCAGAGGTCCTAAGCAAACCCGGTGCCCTCCTAAACATTTCCATGGATTCATCCTTTGAGAACCCGAAGCTCCCAAACAATTCGAATTTCCTAGCAAAAGTCTCACTACTCATGCAACTAACAGTATAAATAGCATGAACCAACATCCTAGAACCAATCGAAAAACCCAAATCAACAACCCTAGAAACAAGGTTTCTAAGGACAGATTCTTTCATAAGAAAGAGCCGGGGTTGCCTCTTTAAGAGCATTGAGAGCTGAGGTCCAAAAATCCCACAGCTATGTAGAAATGCAATGTTGCATAACAGCTTTGATACAGGTTCTTTGGAGGCGACCCAGGTACACCTCCTCAATACCAAAACCAAATCACGATTCTTATCATCATTTATGAGGATTTTCTTGAAAATTTCAATACATGGTTTCAATTTTCTATCCAAACTACAAGTCAAAAGCAAGGAATTCCTAGAAATGATCTTACTCAAATCAGGACCAGTGACACCCATCTCTTGAAAAAACTGGAGCTTTGGTTTGAGGGTTTTATCAATATCGGAGAAGAGGATTTGGGGCGCAATACGGACCGCTGATCGGATGTGGGCATCGGAGAATCCGAGTTGTTGTTTCAAGAATTGAACCACAACTTGAGGCTTTTCTAGGGTTTTGGTCCGACTGAATCGATTGCAGATTGACAAGGCTCGTGGTTCAGATAAATGGAAGGTTTGTAGCAGGTAATTGAGAATACAAGGGTTTGGGATTGGAGGTGAAGTTTGGGTACGGGGACGATTAAGAGAAGAAACCGAAGAGAAGAAAGAGAGGAAGGGTATAATGGGTTTAGAATAGAGATTGTTGAATCGAACCATCATCATCGTGGCCTATTCAATCCTTCGCTGTACACTAACGGCACATGCAGCTGCTCATCAGAGTCAATTTTCCGGCCAACAATTCCCTGATCGCTTTGGATCAAATGGCGCGCCGCAACAAATGAACCCGAATCCGAGTGATGATAGGGATAAAGATCAGAAGCTTGATCTATAAAAGATGGATATGAGGGAGTGTCTGTTTGTTGAGTTTTGAAGCGGAGGTTGGGCATGAAGAAATGACCTTACATTTCAGTAGATGGTTCAATAATAAAAATGACATGCCCGCCTTCTTTTTTTGATACTTTTTTATTTGGGATAAATTATATGGATTTCTTTGTGGTTTTTCATAATTATAGTGGCTCCGATTTAAAAAATTACTCAATTTTTTTAAAAAAATAAAATTAATTTACACGAACCTTTCTTGTGTTATCAAGGACAGATTTTGCTCATGTCATGTACTGAATAAATTAAAAAAATTATATTACACACCGTCCATCTCCTCTCTCTCTCTCACGTATAGATGAGTACTATAGTCATTTACCATAAGAATTTGCGGGCATTTCAGTAAATTAAACAAATCTGTTAGTACATTTGACACTTCGTCACTAGAAAAGGAGGTCTGTGTATGTTAGTTTCATTTTGAAAAGGAGGTTTGTGTATGTTAGTTTCATTTTTAAGGAAGGTTGAGTAATCTTTTAAATCATATGAGAGATTCCTGTAATTATGGCAATACCTTTTGAGATCGTTTCAAAAAAATTGTGTTTTGGAGGTCAAAAGACAAATAGATGAAGTTAAATTCAAGTTTTCCATATTAATGTAGTTTTCTCAAATACTGACATGGACATGAAATTTGATTGTAGATGATTTTTTTCATTCCCAAATTGCCCTGCATATTCATTGAGAATGGACCCAACTACCCATTCAAGCTAACGGAGACTCAAAAGCCTGTGCAGCTGGAATAAACCCCCAAGTCTCTCTCTTCTCTCTCTTTAAAACCCTTCCCATATGGTCCGACTCCACCGATGCCTCCTCCTTCCTCGACGCTGTTGATGAATTACTCACCGCCATTCATGGTTGCTGAGAAGCTCGTCGCCACCTGTCTTGACTACGCCGATGATTTGCTCCAGCAGTCGATGTTTCGGCTTGAGGAAGAGTTCAGATCATTGATGGAGTGAGGCGGCGAGTCGTTTGATGTGACTCGGTGGATCAAAATGTCGACGTCGCCGTTCAGATCCTTTTCCCGAGCGAAAGACGGCTTTGCGATCGCGTCTTCGTCTGCTTCTCCCTCACCACTGACCTCTCCTTCATGGAGGTCTGCAGATCAATACTGTTTGGGATTCGGTTAAGGAAAACTGTTTATCAGCAAGCCCCATGAATGGACCAAGAGCTGGCATTTTATTCAATTCCCCATTTGATTTGCTTTAGTAGTGATGAAATTAGGGGTGCACATGGTTCGGTTCCTTACGGTTTCGACTGGAACCGGAACTAGAACCGTTAACAATGGTTCCTTAAAATTAGAACCGGAACCGGAACTGGAACCGTATAGGTATAAAATCAAACCGAATCGAATCGAACCGTGAATACCGGTTCGGTTCCACGAGAACCGACTGTTTGCTTCACGAGCTTAGTGGGTATAGATCGGAGATGGTGTGTGGGTGTAGAATGTAGATCGGAGAAGCCGTGTGATCGTGTCGCACTTTTTTGTTGCTAATTGACGAGAAGATGAGAAAATAAGATGGTGTGTGGGTCACTGGGTGTAGATCGGATCATCGGAAAAGCCGAGTGACTCGAGTGAGGAATGAATATGAGGAAGCTTTGAGCCTTTGAGATGGGGGAGGGCGATGACGAAGCCTTTGAGATAGGGGAGGGCGATGACGAAGCCTTGAGATGGGGGAGGGCGATGAGGAAGCTTTGAGCCTTTGAGATGGGGGGCGGCGATGAGAATGAGTGAAATTGATAAATTGTGATTCTGATGAAATTGGAAATGAGGTTTAGGTTTGTTTTGTGGTCTAGTATGGACCACATGGCTACCTTTGCCTCACCTGTATTAGTCACTTTAGTCTTCACTCTTTAGTTACTTTTGACTTTAGTTTATTAGTTATATAACAAAAGTAATTGATAATATATATATATATATATGTATATATATATACGGTACTGGTTCTTACCGATTCCCACGGACTGGAACCGGAACCAGAACCGTACGTCCACGGTTCCTAAATTCGGAACCAGGACCGGAACCATGAGAATCGAAAAAAACGGTTCTGGTTCTCACAGTTCCGGTTCCGGTTCCGGTTCCACGGTTCTGGTTCTTCTGTGCACCCCTAGATGAAATCAACTAGTGTGTTTGGAGAAAATTTGGGCACCAATTTGATACCCACGGATTGCTGATGGTAGTCATTTTCTGAATAGGAAGGCAAGCCTCACTAATGTCTTCCATCAACATTGCCCTATCGCGAAAGGAGTTTTTCATTGGCAAAGGTAAAAAGAAAGAATTCAGAATAAAAAGGGGGTGTACTTGATTCTCCCTCGCCATGATGACTGGTTGTGATATTGGTGTTGATGTTTATGGGTTAGGTGGCAATGATGATGGGAACAATAAGGGTAGTTGTTCTTTCTTTCTCTGATCTACGACCACCTTTGTGCTTTTTTGCAAGACCAAATTTCCGTGACGTGATGAATTACCCTTTGAACAGGTCATCGTTGTTTATTGAAATGGCTTGGATTATGGAGTTATTGGAGAGCTGGGTTGTTGGGTCATTTCACAACAATATACATAGGCAGTTTGGGAATCAAAAAATAATCTACAATAAAATTCCATGTCCATGTCAGCATTTGAGAAAACTCCATTAATTTGGAAAATTAGAATTTGACTCCATCTATTTGTCCTTTGACCTCCAGAATACAATATTTTTAGAATTATTTTTAGGGCAAATGTTGGAATAGATTAGCAAACTGGTTCAAGTATTATAAATTAGAATAGATAGTACCAGCTTTAAAAAAAAAAATAAAGTAAAGAAATGTTGTCATTTTTGGACCAGAGTAACACTTTAATGACTTACATTTAGAATGAGTTAGATACAAAATGAATTTAATTCATCTCAACATTCCTAGTGATAGAATTAACACAAACTATCGACTTGACTTTGTGGGAATACTGTCGTAGTTAAGAGCATCTTGCTTCTCTCAGTGTATAGGTCTTCTGTCAATCAGAGTTTTGGAGTACTTCTCCATGGTGGTGTGTTCTTCGTGTTCTATAAAGACTGTGATGACTTTCATCTCCTCTCCATTCCGACGACCCTGTGGGTTGTCTCCCCGGAGAGGCATGTGATACCCCTCGATTCTAGAGTCACGGGTGATCAAGTCCGAGCACAGATCCGAGGGATACCAAACAATTAATATGTAATTGAACACGAATACAAAATGAAATAAGAATAAAATAGTAAGCTGAAAAGAATTCTAAATATGAAAATCCTTCAAATATTTTAGATTAATGTAATTTAAACTTTCCAATCCGTACAACTCGGGAATCCATCCAGTGGACCCCTAATAATCCCAAATAAACAATAAATTACAGAACCAAAATCCAAAACTAAAATGAGAATGGAAGTCCTACATAGTCGGAGGAGTGAGTGACTGTATCTGCTTAGCACGATCAAGCTCTAAGCCTGGAACTGATGAACACCTGAAAAACAAGAGTGGGTCAGGCCCACATGCAAGTTCTATCCTACTACAATCCATACAGAAACCCGATACGCAAATACATCATAAATAACTCGGCAATAACTAAAATAGTCTATATAGATATAAGTACACACTATAGGACGCTCACTAACCTATAGTGTAGTTCAGCCTGAATAGAAGGTAACATGTAAATCACACATTACAATGTGCATGTGCACCTAGACCTACTAGGGAACATTATCTATATCTAGTTACTCATCCTTGGCGATATACACACCCTAACCATGATCCTGAGACTCAAGTTCATATCACGGTACCATAAGTATACATATCAATCCTTCATAATGCAGAAAAATAAAACAAACATCCGATATGTTGTTCAACTGTTTTAGTTGACAAGACATGCATCCATATAGGATTTAACTGTTTTAGTTAATCCATTCTGTATGTATGAATAGGTAGGACTTAGCGTTTTGATCTAATCTATCCCTAATATGCCACCGTCCCATACCGGTGCATATAATGCATACGATCCATAAATGATGCATACTCATTAGAATATCAAATACATCCAGAGACAAACATAATAGAAATCAGATATAGACAGGACCCTATTATGCATCCAGTATATGATTATAATCATAGAACCTCCGTTTAAATTGCTAGAGTAATGATAAACAATTTAAACTATCCATATCCATATAATTGACAGAACAGAAATTATAACAGTTCATCAATTAACATCCATAGCATGATATAATGATAAGTAGAATTATGAACCGAGCACATTATACTTGAATGCCAAAACCACTTCACACTAGTCCATTTAATCTACTAAAACAAGACTAGTAATTAAAACTTCCACTATTCCTGACAGCATACAATTTAGTATCTAAATTTCATGATGTCTATAACTACAGTAGAAACCAACATTCCTTGGACTTAATTATGATACATATATCATTGATATAAAATTCCAAAAACAACTTTCATTTCAGTCCATTCAATTGGCTAAAACAACTAGCAATTAAATCTTTCTCCTTCCTTGACAGCATGCATATTTATGTTTATAATTCATGATGTCCCTTACCACAGCTTAAACCAACATTTCTAGGTCTTTAACAGGTTCAGAACATTTTTTTAAAAACCCCCAATTGAATTACAGAATTCCATTTCAGCCATTGGAATCAAAAATATCAGCAAAAAGGGTGTTTTCCAGCAAGGGAGCCGGCTCCCATAAATGGGAGCCAGCTCTTCCACCTTCAGAGCCGGCTCTCTCATCTAGGGAACCGGCTCCCTCCATTAGGGAGCCATTAGGGAGCCGGCTCTTTCCCTGAGAGCCCTTCTCCGCTTCGTCCGTTTGTCTTCTTCGCTTCCGGCGAAGTTCCAGTCCTCTGTTCCAACTTTTTTTAAAGCTCTTAGGGTTCAAAGCAATTTCAGTTACAAAAATGTAAAATAGTTTTCAGCCTAATCTATCATGCATAAACATCCATTTTAAAAGTTTAATTAAATTCCTGGAGATTATATAGCATGCACAGAACATAGGTTTAAGGGAAGGAGTTAGGATAAAACTTGCCTTCGGTTTCAGTTTTGAAACCTTAA